AAGTTCAGGAAACCCCCATTTCAACCAATGGCTGACTGTTGTGGGGTACCTGTCATCCCAGCTACCCAGGGAAGCACAAACAGGAAAATCATGGTCCAGCAAGCTGGGCATAAAGCAAGACCCTATCTCAAAAATAACCAATGCAAAAAAGGGCTGGGTGTGTGACTCAGGTGATAGAGCATCTGTCTGGCAAGCACAAGGCCCTAAGTTCAACTCTAGTACAGCCTCCTCCCCCAAATGCTAAGTTGTGAAGATATTTCAGCATTTTGGTGTTAAAAAAGGTGGGGGGCAGATGTGTGTAAATTGAAAGTGTTGATGTAGTTAAGGTTAGTTATCATTATTATCATCACTTTGTCATCTCTAAATAGACTCTTTGGGCTTTTTAAAATTTTCTTTTTCATTTCTAAATAAATTGCTCATTCTTCCATGGTAATGGCTGTGGACTATGGCTGAGCAGAGCTGTCAAATACATCTCCACACTTATAGGTCCTTCCAGACTCCATCGATCTACTTGGTATGTCCTCTGAGAAAGACAGAATGGAAATCTGTAGTGCAAAAGGAAAAAGGCGTAGAATGTTATGGGGATTGATTAATGACAGAACAAGAGGCTAAATATTTCTCTGATCCTTAGGGATAGGCCCTTGGGACTCAACTTTTCAGGAAGTACTTAAAGAGGCTTAGGCCTGGAAGGTTACAAATCCTTAGGGTTTAAAGTTTACATCGAATATAACAGTGAAGAAACTGGCTTTTTGGTAAGAGCACCTGCCTAGCAAACAGGAGATCCTGAGTTCAAACCCTAGTGCCACCAAAAAAGAAAGAAACTGGCTTAAGAGGGAAATATTCATTATTTATTTTCGTTCTGTAGGTTTTTTTTGGCAGTACTGGGGTTCGAACCCAGGGCCTAACGCTTGCTAGGCAGGTGCTGTACCACTTAAGCCACTTCACCAGCTCCCTTACTCCTTTTTAAAATAAAGTATTTCATATATTTATAATACTGTTTATAAATATTCCCTCTGGGTGCTGGTGGCTCACACCTTGTAATCCTAGCTACTCAGGAGGCAGAGATCAGGAGAATAGAGATTTGAAGTTAGCCTGGGCAAATAGTTCGAGAGACCCTATCTCAAAAACACCCATCACAAAAAAAGGGCTGGTAGAGTGGCTCAAGTTGTAGGCCCTGAGTTCAAACCTAAGTATCACACACACACAAAAAAAATTCTGTGATATTATTCTACTCCATGTATACAATAAACCTTAGGGTTTTGTACATAACTCTCATATTGTGCAGTTTCCTTCCATGTTGCATGACTGACTGATATGGGTAATGAATAGAATAGTACAGAAATGGCAGAGTAAGTCTTTCCAGGTTTGATCATAAGACATTGACTTCCAACTTGCTTTCTCTTGGATCACTTAGTCTGGGGAAAGCCTGATGGCATGTCTTGGGGATACTTAAGCAGCCCTATGGGAAAGTTTCATTTGCCAACAAGTTAGGCATATGACAAGCATCTTGGAAGTGAATCCTTCATCTCCAGCCCCAGCTAGCCAGCCAAGATGACTTTTGACAGCAACCTTTTGAGAAACTTCAAGACAAAGCCATCAGCTAAGCTACTCTTGAATGAGCCACAGAAACTGCATGAAGTAAAACATTTATCATGCTTTGTTACACTTTTTGGCAGTGCTAGGGATTAAACCCAGAGCCTATTCATGTAATAGGTAAGCACTTTACCACTGAGCTACATCCCCAGCTTATATTTATGGTTCTGAGCAACATAGTTCAGGAGCAATTCATTATGCAGTAATAGGTAATAGAACAGCAAACACCTGACATGCCAATTTTGTTGTTGTTGCAGTGCTGGGGCTTGAACTCAGGGCCTACACCTTGAGCCACTCCACCAGACCTTTTTTGTGAAGGGTTTCTTGAGATAGGGTCTCACAGAACTATTTCCCCAGGCTGGCTTCTAAGCATGATCTCCTGATCTCTGCTTCCTGAGTAGCTAGGATTACAGGCACGAGCTACCAGCAAATTGGTCATTTTAACATTTTGTCTTGTTTAGTAGAGCTATTATTTTCTTAACCCCCACCCACAGGGGTTTGGGAGCATATTTGAGTGGTGGCTGTCACCTACCATGTGGGAGGCCTTGGGCTTGATCCCCAGTACTGCAAAGCAAACCCAAAAATCTACCCCAAACTATTAGATAGTTGAATGGCTTCTCAGTCCTGTTCCTACTTATGGTGCCAGAAAACTCTGAAAAAGCACCATGGCACTCCACTGAAAGTGTGCTTCTTTGATTTTAGGCCATCCAGGGAACCTTTCTGGAAAGTGAGCTTTTGTCTGTTGTTGCTTCCCAGGCTCTCTCTCACTTATGTCATAGAAAAGAAAAAAAACAAAAGCCAAAAAATGACATGATGCTTCAGAAGGTTTACAGACATCTTTCAAGAAGTTATTCACTGTCTTCCTCAGTGAGTTCAGCACAAAGTCATTCTAAATCAGCTTAGGGCTCCCTCATTGCTTGAAAGCCCAGTGACTGCTTTCTCCTGCTATTACATTTGTGTTGTTCTAGAATGGCATGCAGTACCACCCACCAAGATTTTTTCTGCGAACAGTGTGCCAATCAGATTCTTTCAAGAGCTAAGAACACCATTTTGCAAATTTACAGATAAGGATTAAAAACACAGGGAATTTGGGCTGGCAGGGTGGCTCAAGTGGTAAAGCACCTGCCTAGCAAATGTGAGGCCCTGAGTTCAAAGCCCAGTAAGACCAAAGAAAAAAAGTTATAAAAACAAAACCTGGGCATTTTTTTTTAATTAGGCACAATTTTTATTATCAGATATTATTGTCCAGTGCTGGCAATTGAACACATGAACCCAGGACCTCATACATGCTAGGCAGTCAGTCTACTAGTTATATCCCTAGCCCATGGTATTTTTTTGCAGCACTTGTTAAGTGGGGGCTCTACCACTTGAGCCATGCCCCAGCCCAGAACAGTCCTTTTGATGTAACTATAAAGAATGTAAACCATGCTAAGTGTTGTAATTGTGAACCCTTATTCCAACATTTGCAAATGTTGACTCTTCTTAAATCAGTCTTCTCCCATCAACTCATTTGGTTATTCTTCATCATTTGTCTTTCTATAAAAATATGTAAATAAAATAAGAACAAAAGTATTTGGCTTTCTTCCCTCACAGGACTTGTTAGCCACCATAAATTCTGGTTCTGCAAGTTCTTCCCACCCTCTTAAGAGCTGGAAACACGGAAATATTTTTCAAGGATTATTGTGAGATTTAGAAAAAAATTGACAGGATAGGCGCCCTTAAACAGCAGTCATTAACAGGACACTCAAAACTTCCACATTACCAACTACCTAATCATTAGTTACTATTGCAGTACTGGTGACTGAACCCAGGACCTGTGCATTCTACCACTTGAACTATGCTTTCATCTAACTATAGTGCTAGGGATTGATTCCAGGCCTGTGCTTCATCAGAGCTATCCTGCTCCCAAGCATAATCTTGAAGAGCTGCACACAGAATGACTTCCAAAATTTTTCCAGGTGTCCTATGCAAATGGTGAGGTGTAAGACTAAAGAGTAGCACTGCTTTTACTCCAGAGGTACCTAGACAGATCTACCTCTGTGCTGCAGGAGCTCTATTCCCATTGAGGATGAATGGCAATGATCAAGGCAGTACTAGAGCAAGCACAGGAGACATTTTTTTCTTAAAGCCTTTACTTTGAGACATGATGGAAAAAAAAAATTATATAGGTACACATGGGGAAAGACAAGACATGATCACAGTTGAGCAAAGACAATCAAAAATCTTAGTGCCTGTCAGCTAATGTTGAAGCTGAAGTTCTGGGAGTGTGACATGC